CTTGCCTGCCACAGACTCCTTGTGCAATCCTATGTTAGGCAATGAAATCATCTCTTGTTTGTTTTTATTGTACCTTGTTTATTTGTTTGTAATTTCTACTCCACACAACAGCCAAGTCTCCCTGGGTGATTCACAAAGCAAAGGTTAAAACCATAGGAAGCAGTAACTGTATAATCCCAGCTCTTTGTGAGAGAGTTACCAAAAAAGGAAAAGGTCATTTAAGTTGATGGCTTTCTTGCCTGGTTCTAATTCAACGATTGGGAGATGGATGAGACAGGTTCCTTTCTTGGCCTGGAACTAGCTTCAACTGAGCAGAAAGTATACGCAGTTGATAAAAAGAATGGGTGCTGCCTCTGTACGTATTGCCTAAATGTATACAAAATCTTTATATGTGTTATGACTGGGATTCAGCTTCTGTTTGGGTTAAGAGAAAGTGGGTCCCTGTGAATGTCCAGAGCCCTGAAAATAGCCTCAACTGGGCAGAAAGCTCAAGATGAACACCCCAAGTGCTGCCTTTGTGTGTACTGTCAAATGTATAAAGATTATTCCTGGGTGTTGGCTTCCAATGACGGTTTGGATTAGGTTCAATGTCAGGAAAACCTGGATTGCCATTGATGTACATGGGCCTGGATACATCCTAGATTGGACAAACAAGGTAAGCAGTCAATAAAAACATTGTGAGTGTTGCTTTTCTGTATGTTGTCTGGACATGTGCAGGTTTTATGCCTTGGTTGTAGGCCCGGGGTCAAGCTGCAGGTTAGGATTAGGGTTAGGAAAAACTGGGCCCCTGTGCATCCTTGATGAGCAAGCAATGTGAGCAGTTAACAAGAACACACTGGGTGCCGTGTATATGCATTTTGCCTTAATGCATAGGGAGAATACATTGAAATTATGGCACTAAACTTCAGATTAGGGTTTAGGTACCAGACAGGGAACTCTGGCACTTTACTACCTCTTTCTGATCTGATGACTGGAAACAGATTGAATCAGTTGTTGTTGGAGACAGAAATCTCTAGCTGCGATAATACCAACATGGACTACAATTTACTCACTTTTTTAAACTGCTAATGAAATTTGTGCAGCCAAGGACCCAAGCACCACATGGCATGAGTGTGCTTTGTGCATGATCAACTGATTTTCGTGAAAGCATAACTTGTGCAAATAATATTCTGTGCAAATCAGCTGATCTTATGCAAATTACACTAGTGCCACAAGGGGTTTCGATGCATATTTGCAAAAGTTTATTACCAGTTAAAAATGTGCAAATTGAGATCCTTCCTAGAGATAGAAATCCATGAACCAGTTCAGCTCATACCACAGTGAGTCAGGCCCTGCACAGGACAGACAAACCATTCATTCAGGAGTCTGAATTGCGGAAACCCACTGGAGTTTTACCCCTGTTGGATTCCTCACGCATCACTAATCCTAGCCAAAAAAGTAAGATAGTTATGTGTTTTGCAATATTGCCACCTAGTGGGTCTTGTCTGACTAGATGTTTGTATTGGCATATGGTAAAGATTCTCCATAGTCACCTGTATTTAATATCTTAAGAGGCTAGGTCTGATTTTCTTTTTACTCATGCCTGTTGATAGGAAAACATGAACCCAATTTTTAATCTATTCTACAAAAACAGCCAGTTTAGATTCTTGCAGTGGTAGCAGTCAATGTGCAGACATTGGTTGCATATCCTAGCGGAAGGTGAGAGATAGCTGCTGGGTGTGGCATAGGAAAAGCATTCCTGATAGCTGAGAGACATGCAACTTTCCTTAATTGCTTCCCACTCAAGAGAGACTTTAGAACTAAGCCCTAATTCAGATTAAGCACGGGCACAAGCACAATGACTCTTGCTTAACCCATTGGTTCCCAAACCTCCTCTCTCTCCCCAGCACACTAACAAATAATGACATATTAAGCAGGCTTATATGATCCCTCCCCTCCACACATTGAAAGAACATGCAAGGGGTTGCCTATGAAGCATACTGTACTTTACATGTCTTGGTAACTGGCACGAATGCCTATTCATGTATCTTATAGGGTTCATTAAGAACCTGTTTATTCAAACAAGTGATCTTACCTATTCCTTAGCCCTGTGTTTCATTGGTACACGGTTTTTACTCTTATTTATTACATTTATATCCCCAAACAGCTGTTCACAAAAAGGATAGATATCCTATAACATACTTGGAATCTGACAAGTGGATGAGATGGGCACATTGTTACCTACCATACACTGACTGAACTGAGGTTATCATTAGTGGTCATACTACTGGGTGGATTATATAATAGCATGCTATGATAATTAGGGCTGACACACCTCATAAGAAACCTTTGTCAATTAGTGTAGTTGGAGATAATGGCCTCTTCAGAGATTCACATATGGATCAAAACATTACTCATGTGTGAATGGGGAGCATTCTCTTCATGTTTTTAGATGACATATACACATGTTACAACATGAGCTATCTTATAAAGAGGTCCTTTCTGATGGAGAGGGAAGGATGCCTCTTCTGTGATACCTCTTCCCTACACTTACAAATTTTTGTATCTGAGCCAATTTTTAAAAATTATCACCAAAATGATCAGTGGAACTTTTTATCACTTAAAAGATTTTTAATGGATCAGTCAGGTGCAGCCTTAATTGTCGTCATGCTTTCAATAGCATTGTCGTACTGAATGCATCATGGGGATGGATCTAGAATTAGACATTAGTAGTCTCATTGAAATCAATTAGACTGTAGTCATCTCTGACTGTACCCCACAGGGTCCATTTTGACTAAGTCAGGATTCAATCTTTTGTAATTATAGACAAAACTTTTTTTTAAACAATTGGGGCTAATAACCTTGGCATGTTACTGTGGTTAATTCCTTACTCATAACATTAATAGCCTTAGGAAATCATCTCCCTGTCCTTTTTTGGTTTCCTTACAGGTTTGGCTCTCACAAATCATGTCTATTACTCCCTCTTATTTGCTTCTGTATCTTCTATGAATTTTTCTAAAAGTTTTTCTTAAAGCCACTTAGGCTGTAGTCCTGAACCCACTTATCTGGGAGTAAGCCCAACTGAACCCAGTAGGATTAATATATTGAGCTGACATATATAAGATTACATTATTAAGCTACTGGCCATTCTATGTCTTTGGATCTTCACACCAGTTCTTAGAACCTTCAACTCTTAGAAGTCCTTAGGTTAGACCACCTTCTCCCATAAAAGTCTGGCTGAGCTTTAAAATCTCCAGGGAAGGCCCTTCTCTCAATGCCTCCTCTGTCAGTGGCATGCTTGGTGGTCAGGGCCTTCTAAGTGGTTGCTCCTTGGCTCTGGAATTCTCTGGAATGCTCCTTGTAGAGGGAGGCTAGATTGGCCATCCTTTTGCTAGCAGGCATATAAGCAGAAGTTCTCTTGGGTTTAGTTGGGGCTGTCTTTATTTCTTCTATTGTTTTGTTTCTGTAAGTTGAATTTTTAGCTTATGTTTGTATAAATGATTAAGTTGTATCTTAATCTTAGTTTGTATGATTGTTAGCTACTCTAACCACCACTTTTTTTAAAGAAATCAAGTGTATAGAAGTGAATAATTTATATGTATGCACTCTGAACCCAATAGTTTCAATCAGATTTCCAAAGCTGTAAGCAGCCATTTCTAGCCAAAGAAAGTTTTCCAGAGTGTCATTGCCCAGCGTTCCCTCTCTCTCAGCCCACTGCCTCAATTAGATCTTATTCTGTAAGATCAGGGGGTTGAGTTTTAATCAAACTATGAGAGCAAGTGTGGTGGTTATTGTGTTGGACTGAGCGCCTGGGAGATCAGGGTTCTAGACCCCACTTAGCCATGAAGCTCAATGGGTGACTTAGAGCCTGTCATAAATTCTCAGCCTAACACAGGGATGTTATGACTTATAAATTGAGTTGTGTAAGCTATTTTGAGTTCCTCACAGAAGGGAAAAAAGTAACATAAGTGCAATGTATGTATGTATGTATGTATTTATTTACTAAAACATTTTTATGCCGCCCCATTCGCCGAAGCCTCGGGGCGGCTTACAACAATAAATTAAAAGTAATTATAATATAAATTACAATAAATATAAACATCAAATTAAAAATACAAAAATACAATATAAAATAAGTCGCCCTGGCCAGATGTAATAATAATAAAATAATTAGCATATGCTGGAGATTTTCTGAGGATTGTTCAGAATTGGTAGCATCTAAAGTATTTGGAAGCAAAAAAAATGTGAAATTGAAGCTTTCATGATGAAGCACATCGTGAAAAGGCAAGATTCACTGGAGAAGACAGTAACACCAGGGAAAGAAAAATGCAAATAAAAAATAATGCAGAAGAAAAAAAGGAAGACCAAATGTAAGATGGTTGGATTCCACAAAGACGCCACAGCCTTGAGTTTGCCAGAGTTAAGCAGAGCTGGTGGGCCTTCATTCATATAATCACCATAAAGAGCGATGACAGCATGTAACAGCAAAGAGCTCCTTCTTGTTATTATTTTTATACAGCTCAATAGTCAAAGCTTTCTGGATGGAATAAAGCAACTGAAAAAATAGTTGTATGACTTTTGAATTGGAAGACATTATTTTAACAATAACAACTAAGTCCTTGTTTTTCGTTCTGCTAATTTGCCTGTTAAAGCAATACACTGTACACTGTCTAGTGATACACTGTATTGAAACAGAAACGAAGTGTGTAAAGATAGGAGAAGCTTATTTCTTCTATTGGAAAGAAGAAATATATAGCAAAGTGTTATACTAAAAACATGTTTGGAGAGATAAAATGCGGGGGGGGGGCAATACGGAAAAGCAAAGAATATAGATAACTACGACCTCCAAGGTACTGCCGGCACTGCGGGGCGCTCCTAGCGCTACAACTCGCCACTTCGTTTGAAAAGCAAGTGCGATTTCTGGCGCAAGCGGAACTACATTTCCCAGCAACATACGCAAGAAGGGGGCGCGGCTAGAAATGGTTGAGTGCTGCCCTCTTTTGGGTACACCTAGGAAGTTGGAGCGTGAGAAGGTAACAGTAAATGAGGGGGAGGGAGCGCTGTCCATAAGGGGCCGAGAGTGGGGGTGAAGCACCCACCTCTGCCAGCCAGCGGGAGGCTATCGCAAGACCTGGACTAGCCGGTGTCACGGGTCACGCAGACGACACCCAAGTTGGACCAAGTTTGCGGAGTGGCTTTAGCTGTGGCGCGGGCTCCTTTTTTCTTCTGCCCCTAAAGTGGTTACGGCACTCTCTGACCTTCACGGGACGGTAAGTACGGAAAGGCTGTGTTTTGGACACGGACGCTCCAGGCGGGACTGCGGACTCTCGATCCGGTGCCCGGAGCGTGCAGTAGCCGCGCCTACAGAAGTGGCGGCGACCCAACAGAGTCACCGGTCCGGGCGGCGGGAGAGAGGCTGGAGGGCGCCGACGGATCGCGCCTCGCCCCTCCCGTCTAGCCTAGAAGTCGTGCGGGAAGGAGCAGGTGCTGGGGGGCGAAGGGAGGAAAGGTGTCCTGTAGGAAGCGCAGAGGGGGAGTCATCACAAGTTCGGGCGCAGCGGGGCGTGCGGGAGGAGAGCACCCGTCGGGAGTTCGTTGCATCGCCGCGTTGCTTTCTCCCCTTTGCGAGAGGCGAAGGCGCCTTTGGAGCCTTTTAGAGAAGGCCGCCCGGAGCTGAGAAATCAGTGTTGGGTCCCCTCGGCGATCAGCCACCCAGGGGTGCTTGTGATGACACGGAGGGGAAAGTGGGCAGAGGCGGCTGGAGGGGACGCTGCCTTGACCTGCCGACAGAGCCCGCGGAGCCGATGGCGGAAGCCGAGCAGCCGCAGCGGTCGACCGGGGGCGAAAAGGGAGAGCCGCTCGACCCCACCCGTTCCGAGACTGAGGGGGCGAACCGGGGCGAGCAGCGAAGGCGGGGGGTTGCTTCTGCTCTGCCCCGCCCTCTCCGCAGCGTCGCCAGGAGATTAGACGAGGGCCGAGCGGAGCTTATGTAACTGTTACCGCAGAAAGCCGGGAGGGGAGGCTGGGCCGGAAAATTGCCGGCCGGCTGGCCCGATCAAGCCGGAGAGTCAGTGGCGTCCGGGGCGGGCGGGATTCCCCCCGCTCTCTTGCGACGCCTGCCTGCCTGCCTGCCTCCCTCCTGCGTCCCGTTTGGGACGGGCGGAGCGACATCCCGGCCGAGAGGGACTGGCGCGCGTTTCGGTCTTGCTTTACAACGGAAGTTCCAGATGACAAGCTCGGGAAGGCTCCTCATTAGCTTACATTAACGCTGATTGTTGTTGAGCTGATGACTCGGGAGCTCCCACGTGCGCCGCTGCAGCTCAGAGGATGGGCTGCAGCCACCCGGCCGGCCCGTGGCGCTCCTCGGTAGCCGGGCGAGCTCTGGCGCAGTGCCGCCCCGCGCAGGGAAGGCGCTCTCACGTGTCTTATTCCCCGGGTCTTTTTGGTGGGTGGTAGCCAGATGAGACAGGACAGGCAGAAGAGCGCCTTGGGGGCCTTTGGAGGTTTCCGGGCACTTTTCTGGCCCTTCCCCAGTGCTTTTAGCGGTAGCCTGCGACGCCACACCATAACCGCTGAAGGGACCCCCCCCCCCGCACTCTCGTCATGGGGGAGAGAAAATGAATAAACTTCACAAGCATAATTTCTGCGCTCAGCTTAGTGGCAGAATAAGAGGGTCAGTTTCAAAGTGGAAGCCCTCCCTTGTTGGGGCTTCTAAAATAGTGTGTTTGTGTGTTGCTACTATTTATACTATTTATATCCTTGCTTTTTTCCTACAAGGAACCCAAGGCATCAGATATACCTCCCCCCCCCCACCACGTGTTTTAGCCTCACAACAATCCCATGAAATAAATTAGGCACTTAGCATTGATTTAAGACTTGAACGGAGTATTAGGTCTGATTCCTTACCTTCAGAATTCTGCAAGAATCTATTGCCTCTTGTTGGCAGTGACTTTGAGGCCTCCTTTGAGGTTTAAGACTGATGACTTTCTCTTTAAAATTTGTAGTAGAAAGAAAACTGAACAGATGGCAGAAGTATGGACATTTTCTCCGTCCTCTTCAGGCTGTTAATTTCCTCTACCATATTTGTTTGACTTCATGCATGGCTGCCCCCCATATCCAGCATGAGGGCTTGAATGGGGCTGTGTAGACTGGTCTCTGCTTGCATTTCCTTGGGCCTCTTGCTTTTCTTTCTGTTTACAGATGCTAGATGGTTTTGGACAACAGATCTAGTAAAGAATGAGAGTAATCAGTTTTGTCTTTGGAGCCCTTATGTCTTAGTTGTAAACTTGAACAATATTTGGTCTCTAGTCAGAATTTACATTGGTGTGGACTATGTTATATGTACATAAAACAGCCATGCTGGATTGGTCTAAAGGGATCACTGAACAGTCATGCCTGGACTCCATTTGATAGGTAGAGTTGCCAAGTTCAGATCATGAAAGGGCTCCTGTATCTTCAAGAAAGGGAGTCATTTTCAGGTGTGGCTTTTCTTACCCTTTTACTGCACTGACTAAAGAAACTTCAGTAAGTTACAAAAATAAAAGATCCAGTTGTCCTACCCCTGCTTTTTCAGAACAGCAAAAAAGTAACAAAGTAGGATTGGAACAAACTGGCAAGCCATTCCTTATAGGATGGCCAGAAGCAGATAACATGACATATTGCTGGAGTGAGCACACTTAAGGCCCTTCACAAGTGTAATTACTAGGCATTGCTTGTAAGAGAGCTCATTGGCCTATTCACTTACCTGCATGAAATCCAATGGTGCAGCGATGGAGTGTTCCATTCCTCCTGTACACCCAGCACAGAATTCAGGCAGGCTGCTAGAGGATGGAAACCCCCTCTCTGTCTAACACAGATGTGCAGCTGTACCCTCTGCCAGCCTGTTTTGTTTTGTTTCACTTTGCTTTAATGCAGTCTAATCACTTTTGTGGACTTATTTACAGGACTGCCTGTAGGACATTCTTTCACATGCTGTTAGAATATCTGTTCATTTTTTCTGCATCTTTACTGAGAATCTAAAGCCTATTTTGGTAAATTTGTACATTCTGGTTTTTAAAAAAGCTTGTCATTTGCTTTGTATCTGGGGTGAATGGTGTTCTCACATGAATACAAGCAAAAGAGGTTCAGAAGCGCTTGAAGTGTCATGGGGGAATATATCCATAAAGGTAGTGGAACCTTGTCATGACCAACCAAGGCTACTTCAAGCTAGATGTATCTTGACACCATAAAAAGCTTTCGAAACAGCTGTGCAAATACATTTTAATGAGTTGCTTTACATTTTCTCTTGTTGGCCAGAGCTAGAAAAGAACACGTGTGCTAGGTAATTAATTAGCCAGAAAACATGTGACTGAGGCAACCATTCATTCTACTGTGGAATCAGAGGAGACATTCCAAACTACTACAAGGGACAATGGAGGTTCCTGCAAATGTTGAGTCATTCAAGGATTGACAGAGCCTAACTGCGTAGTAAAGAATAAAAACTTACTGTTGTTATTAAGCTTAACTGCACAGAAAGCATTCCCAGAAGTAATCATGGTGCAATATCCTTTTGATGAAAATTCAGATGTAAAGCCAGATCAATATGTGCCTGAACCATGGGTGGTGTCTTACACCTGTGCTCCAGGTGTGTGCACTCTGTTCTTCCCTTAAGGACTGAAATGGCAAAGCATGATTTGCACTTGCCTTGGGATCCGAATTAGGATTTGCACAAATTAGTGTGTATGTTGGGTTGTGGGGAGAGCACATGAGCCTGAGGATCCATCCAGCCTTGTTTATATAAACCCAAAGTGTGGTTTTATATAGTGCTTGATGCATGTCTGAACCATAGTACATGCCACTGGTTTATTCAGAGATAAACTGATAAATGCAGCATGTGAATATTCCCTATTACCTGAAGATGCTCTTTGCTTTTTGGTGGGTATTGCAATTCTAATAGGTGAAGTTGGGCAGATTTTCACAATCATTTTGCTCATGCCAATGTGCTTCTAGAAGCTATGATAATAATATTCTCAAATGCTCTCTACCATAGCCACATACTGCTCAGGTCACATTTTTAAGGTGTTGTAAGAGAATGCCTATCCATAACTGGAAATATATCAGTCCCTGGTCATAGGGATACATTTACATCAAAGTAATAATGCTGTCTGTTTGCAAAGTTTAGAAGTACATGTGGATACTTATGGATGGTGCTGTTTTGGCTCCCTAAGAGGAAGTATCAGCAAACTCAAGGTTTGGCAGAAATATCTTTGGGGAAAACACTAAGCAACTGCTCCTCCAACTCCCTCCCCATCAGTGAGGTTTGAGCAAGCTCAGTGGGCATGATGGCTGTGTGTATGGGGTAGTAAGGGTGGGGAATGGAATTTCCTGGAAAAGGACCTGGCTGGCTGGCTGGCTGGCTGGCTGCAACAGAGAACAAGACCACTCCATCATGAAGCTTTCTGTTGCAGAACTCGCTTGTACACCTGTTCCAGAACAGCATTGTTCTATAAAACACAAATTACTCTCTCACTGCAGAGAAGTCCTGTAGTTCTATTCTGTTCTCTATTTGGTTCCCTGGGAGATGCTGTTGTTTCTCTGTATCTCTATTTTTTAGGTGATGTATAGATGTAGTACATACAGATATTTAACTTCAGAACTATATACTAGGGATGCTTTCCAACTGAGATCGGGTGGCCCAAGTCCAGGAATTGTTCTTATCAGCAGGAAGCTGCAGGAGGGTGTGAATCTAATTTCTCTCTCTTTCCCTTCCCCCCACCCCATGTGCCTTTGTTTTCAGTCTGTAGCAGTATCCCATGTGTATGACATGGTGTTTGGAATTTGGACCTAGTCTAGAAAGGGGAAAAGAAAAAGCAGTCCTCTGACATGCTTCCCAGAGGCTAGAGTAATTAGTCTTCTGTGTTTACGTGCAAAGCATGCCCCCGACACCGTTGCTTAAAAAAGAACAAAAAAAGAAACTTGATAGCAATAAGGAGTAATAGCAAAACTGAGTATATAAAATACTACTGAAGCAGGAAGCACCAGACAAGCTGAAACAGAAAGGACTTTGCTAAACTACCCCTATCTTTTCCCAACCACTCCCCTCTTTTTCTTACCTTTGCTTTCCCCCAAAACATTGCTGTATGGTCTGGTGGCCACGCTGAACTGAAATTTCAGAAATAAAGTTTAAAACTGACACTTGAAATAAAAATGGCTCTTACAGTTCAGGAAAATTGGCTAGTCGTCTTAGACATCTGGTTTGGTATGGCTGGGGCCTGGCTTATAAAGTGCTTTA